CTTATATTCGGGGTTCATTTTTCCCACTTCATTTGGACGGATTTTTGGAGCTCTTCTCCACTCACTCAAGACCACCAACTCTTTTCTTCTTCAAGGTAAGCAATCCCCATTATCTTAGTATGAAATTCCATCATTTCTACACTAGTATTGATGAAATCTACACATACAATACTTAGATCTTCAAGAAATTTCTTCAAGAACGCAAATGAGGGTTTTGTAAGATTTCTTCCAAAAAGATAATCCTACACCCTTAGACTTACATGTACGGATTTATTATGGGAAGATGAGTATGAATTAAGTATTAGAACTCATGGTATGGTGATTAGAAGCCATAAATTTCCAATTTAAATACATAACCATGGTAGAGATTGAAAGGTGATTAATTGATGTAATTTTGTTGGTTGTGTGTGGATGAATGGTCACGCATGTGATGATTTAAAGTTATAAATTTTTGATAAATGGTGGTAGTTGGATGAACTAATTCCATGGTTAAGAGATGTAGAGATTTATGCACTCTAGGTGCTTGATAAAATGCCTAAATGACCTAAAATCTGAAAATTTTACTAATATTGATCCAATTGAATTATGTTGATGTAGATTGAAGTTGTAAGAATAGTTGGAGGTTTTAATATCACTAAAGAGCTGAATCAAGAAAGCTCGGTTTGTAGCGATTTTTGCCGAGGGATTTTCAAGGAAATATTCATCTGGATCTGAGCCATCCGGAGTTGGATAATCGCCGAAAAAGGCTTACCAGTGGATTGAGTTAACACGTTTTGAGGTAAGTAACACTTCTAAACTTGGAGTTGCGGGTATGAACCCTGATTATACGTGTTATGTGATTTGTTTGGAGGTGACGCACATGCTAGGTGACGGGCGTGTGGGCGTGCACCGTAGAAATTAAGACTCAGTCGATTCCGTAGAGCTGTGTAGTCAATTAACTTGTATTTTTTTAATGTATTTTTCATGTGTTAGAGAAACTGAACCGTGACTCATGTTAGAAATCATGCTTAGGCAAATGTGGTATTATTGGGACCCACTAAGGTCATTTCTGCTGTCGAATTATATGTTTAAACTGTAATTTCATACTCAGTCATATTCATTCATTACGTATCATATCTTAGTCTCTGTTGTTATTTATTGATACATCATATCATCATTTTGGGCTAGTTTCATGACATTGTGAGCCCGAGAGACTGGAGAGATTGATGACTGAGCGAGGCCGAGGGCCTGATTGTGAGGATATTATGGGATCGGGTTGCACGCCACAATATATTTTTATTTATTTATTTATTATAACGCTTTCGCTGAATGAGTCCCTTCGGAGTCTGCACCCCCCACAGTGAGCGCAGTGGATATTATATTTGGGATGGAGTTCCCTAGGCATGGAGTTGCCATATATATATATTCACTTATGGGATGAAGTTCTCTGGGCATGGAGTTGCCTTATTTATTTATATTTGGGATGGATTTCCCTGGGCTGGATTGGCCCTGCACAGTACTAAGTGACTGAATGTCAGTTATTATGTATATATATTTGGGATGGATCTTCCCTGGTCTGGATTGGCCATATACAATACTGAGTGATTGAGTATTCTGAGAGTGTGAGTACATGAGTTCATCATTGAGATGCATTGCATTTGACATGCATACTGAGATGCAAGCGTAGAGATGCATTTCCTCTTGCTACCCGGTTTTTGGTGACATTCATGATTTCATATGTATATTGACATGTAGGCATAGAGATGTATTTCCCTCATGCTATCTAAAAAATGATACATCTTATTTATTGTTGAAAGGTTTTTGGAAAAAAATTACAGTTTTCAAATTTACTCATGTTTCAGTGATTTGGTTAAAAGAATTGAGTTTTACTGTCATACTTGAAAAGAAAATGTTTATTTTCCTAAATTGTATACGAGCTGAGCATTTTATTATTGAGTTATTACTTCTACTGCTTTAAATTGTATTGTTATGAGATGTTATTAGTTATTGGTGTGGACTCTGACCTTGGTACAAGCTCGTCGCTACTTTCAACCTAATGTCAGGTTTGTTACTTATTGAGTACATGGGGTCGGTTGTACTCATACTACACTTTTACACATTGCGCGCAGATTTTGGATGTTGATGCTGTTGTACACGGTGGGAGCTAGCATTGAATATGTACCTGCGATCAGTCACATATGCCTCTTGTTCTAGGTAGCTTTAGAATTTAAATTTGTTCATGTATATTTCAAACATATGACGTATTTTTATTTCACACCAGCTTTGTAAATTCTAATCTTAGAAGTTCATGATTTGTACTACCAGTCTTTGGGAGTATATTAGAGTCAGTTAAATATAAATTGAATCGGATTGTTGTTATTTGGCTTACCTAGCGGGTGAGGTTAAGTGCTACCACGACTAGTTGGATTTTGGGTCGTGACAAGAAGCCAAACACGGAAAAGAAATCAATGTTGCAAAGGTGCCTATGGTATATCCACCTTCAAAAGAGTGTCAAGTCAATATACTGTCCATATGCATACAAGTACTGTAGCTGCAAATTATGGAAATAAATAAAGGAGCAACGATCAAATTCCATTGGGCTATGCAATAGCCAGAACAAGTTGAAAGGGCTATAAATATACAAGTTCTATGAAGGAAGAAAGTATACAGCCTTCTATACAATTGTCTACCAAACTACAAATTCTTTATTCTACTCTTAACAAGCATTGTAATTCACTTTTAGTAGATTTACTGTATACACAAAAGAGTGAAGAGAGATAGAAAAATATTGGAGTGGTTGTGTGCCCTTAGAGGTTGTGTCATTATTCGTTTCTTTGGTGAGCGAGTGAAAATCAAAGAGTCATTGTTGGTGAGCGAGTAAAAACCAACCTTTTGCGTTGTTGGTGAGCGTGTTAAAACCAACCCTTGTTCGTTGTTGGTGAGCGAGTGAAAATCAAAGAGTCATTGTTGGTGAGCGAGTAAAAACCAACCTTTTGCGTTGTTGGTGAGCGTGTTAAAACCAACCCTTGTTCGTTGTTGGTGAGCGAGTGAAAATCAAAGAGTCATTGTTGGTGAGCGAGTAAAAACCAACCTTTTGCGTTGTTGGTGAGCGTGTTAAAACCAACCCTTGTTCGTTGTTGGTGAGCGAGTGAAAACCAACCTTGTAAACGTTGGTGGTGAACGTTAAAAATCACACAAGCTGTACTCAACTCATATTACAAAGAGCTAAAGAGACAACACCCTTGCAACCCAAGGGGACTGGAGTAAGATACCACATTGGTTCCGAACCAGTATAAAATTCTTGGTGTCATCTACCTTACTGATTTCATATTTTATTATAAGCAATTTCCATTTGTTGAGATTAGTATTTGATTGAATCGAAGTATTAACAGTATTGTGCATGCTGTCTCCGCATTAGTCGACTAGGTCTGAGGAGTAATCGACTAGAAATTTAAAAATACTACAATTCATCCCCTTCTTGTACTTTTATGTTTGGTATCAGAGATAAGGATAATAACCTTGAGCTAAATTTAATATAGATATCTTTTGAATGTCTTGATGGTGTAAAACATTATTTATACGGATGATGTATATCACTTAAACTCTTTCCAAAACGTAAATTATAAATTAAACGACAAAGGGCCAAATATACCCCTGTGCTTTCAAAAATGGTCTAAAAATATCCCTCGTTATACTATTGGGCTATATATACCTTCCCCGTCATACTTTGGAATAAATATACCCTTAATTTGGATGGAGTTCCACGTGGCAGTATCAGATGAAAACGACTATTTTTTTTTACCCGACCCATTTTAAAAAACCCACTACTCGACCCGTTTTAAAATTCAGTTTTTTAAAGCATATATTTTGTAAAAACTAGAATTTTGTTTTTGTAAAAACTGAAGAAAAAAAAAAGAATTTGTAAAATATATATTTTTAAGTCTTTTCAGTTTTTTTAAAGTATTTTTTTGTAAAAACTGAAAAAAAAGACTCTCCTAAAGCAGTGGACTACATATGCATTAGTTTTAAAAAAATTTAATTTTTACAAAAACAATACTTAAAAAAACTGAAAAAACTAAAAAATATATATTTTTAAAATTCCTTTTTTTTCAGTTTTACAAAAAAATATTTTTTTTAAAAATACTTTAAAAACTTAAAAATATATATTTTGTAAAAACTGGTAAAAAAAAGAAATTTGCAAAATATATATTTTTCAGTTTTTTCAGTTTTTAAAGTATTGTTTTTATAAAAACTGAAAAAAAATGATTTTGCAAAATATTTTTATTTTTTTAAAACTAATGCATATGTAGTCCACTGCTTTAGGAGAGTCTTTTTTTTCTTTCCAGTTTTTACATTTTTTTTTTTTTTTCAGTTTTTACAAAAAAAATACTTTAAAAAAAACTGAAAAAACTTAAAAATATATATTTTGCAAATTCTTTTTTTTTTTCACTTTTTACAAAATATATGCTTTAAAAAAACTGAATTTTAAAATGGGTCGGGTGGTGGTTTTTTTAAAAATAGATCGAGTAAAAAAAAGAAATGGGTCGTTTTCATCTCGTGCCGCCACGTGGCACTCCATCCAAAATAAGGGTATATTTGTTCCAAAGTATGACGGGAAGGGTATATATAGCCCAATAGTATAACGAAGGGTATTTTTAGACCATATTCAAAAATACAAGGGTATATTTGGCCCTTTGCTGTAAATTAAATTATCACGTTGAGTTTGCTAGACATACATAAGTGAAGAAATGCAATTTTGTCAGCATATAAAAACCTCTTCTTGTTACACGGATGAATGGTCCTACAAGGGTAGGATGTTAGGTAACACAAAATCAACCTAAATGGTGTGAAGGTTCCTAAAAAGGCAAAAACTCAAAAAATATGCATTTTTACACCTACTTTATTTTTTGGAACTCTGGGTTTTGTGCTTTGTGTATGTTTTCTTTCTCTCTTCTTTTTCCTTGGACTCTGGGCATTTTTACCTTCCGTACTTCCTTCTTTGACTGCTATAAATTGAAACTTTCGTTCCCAATAGAATGACACTTTCATTATCAGCCAGTTAACAAATTAACCATAAGAATGGAAATCATCCGAATCATATCTACTCTACTCATTTGTTTCACACTATTCATGTTATCTTCATTTTCATTTGCTACTCCACTGTTAGGTATTTCATCATTTTCTTTCTATCCCTTCATCTTTTTGTTTTTTTCCCACTTATATTTCATGCTAACTTCATTTTATTGTAATTTTTGGCAGATCACGAAATGAAGACGACTCTCTCTTCAAGTCCTAGAAAGCTGAAACTCAATGAACAGCCAAATGTAATGAGTTTACTTTTTGTTTTTCTTTCTATTCTTGAGTATTATAAGCTAGGAATCCCTTATTTTTCAGTATATAATTGTATTTTCTCATGTAAATGACATGTTGTTTAATTTTTTTCATAAAGCAGGTGAAAAGCAAGGGAGATCAAAAGCATTTGGTCCCATTCAATACTGCAAACCAAGTTTCATTACCAGGTAATGCGCATGCACCTATTTATTTATTTTTTTGTTTCGCTATATGATTAATGTGTTGCAGACATACAGAATATATGTTTATGTGTGTGTTTGTGTTTATATACATAGTATCAATTTAATCTTGTATGGTAACATTAACATTAACTGGTTTTCATGCATGACGTATATATGTTCATATCTAAGAGATAAATACAAGTTTCTTCCGTTAAAACTGAAAAGTACAGGACTAGCTTCATCATTTTCTTAATATATAATATGGCCTAAAAGTTTAATTTTTTGAAGGATCCTGTACTTTGACTAACTAACTAAGCTTTCCGTTGATATGCTGATATTCCATAATTTCATGCAGAATCTTAAAGTACGCAATTTATGTTTCGAATTGTCTACTTTTTAACTTCGCAGTTTAACTAGTTCGACGATTTGTCCACATTTTGACTAACAAATTTAATTAAAATACTACCTCTAGTTCATATTATTTTTTCTTAATGTTTTCTTTACGTTTCTTAAGAAAGACATTTATAATAGTCTTAATCATACAAGTATATACACATAAACTATCACTTATCTCTCCATAAACGTCTCATTTAATTTAAATTGCAGTACTAATTAGAACAGTAAAAAATAAAATCACTATATATATATGAGACAGGAGAATGTAACTAATTATCATGTTTCTGACTTGTCTAGGTAAAGAACATGAGCAAGAAGCTGCAAAAATGGTGAAAGCAAGAAAAGGAACAAGGCAAGAGTGGGTTGAAGGGAAAGACACTTCTGATTTCTTTACAATGGATTATCATTGGGTTAGAAGACGACGTCCCATACATAACAAGTCAATTCGCCCATGAAAACCGGCATCTTAATTTAGCTTTTAGTTTAACTTAATTAGTTTACTTTTATTATATATATANGAATATGAAGTGTATGTTTTGTTGTAATTAGGAGTTTATAAGAATATGAGGATTATGTCATGTCGTACCTTTGTTTATGGCCGACATTAAACCCTAACTTTTGCTACTAACAAGAAAAACTTTACCATTATTCCAAGGGGACAAATTTTGTTTATTTATTTGTACAATTTATAAAGGCAGTCAAATTAGTTTTTCTCAAACCCCAATATTTTGAGAATTGGTGTGTCACACATTACAAGTCATTTTTTTAATTTAATTTTCCTCGAAAGACAAGTTCTCCGTACATTAGGCGCATGAATGTAAGTATCTGGCCATGAGAGATGTTTAACTAATCCTTGAAAAATGCAAACTATGTCGACTATAAAATTTAGGTAATTTTTTGTTTTGACAGTTCCAACTTCCTAAGTTCTAAGTTTCCAATGCAAGTGGATGCAACTTTGCTTCTAGGGTTAATATTCTTTTCCCACACTAAACATGGTGAACAAAGCTTTTCGCATTCAAGTACGTTTGGAGAACCTACAAGCGTGTGATATAGACAACCTGCAAGATAGTTACACACTTTATCATTGCTCCAGTCCCCTCCCTCTTTCAAGATTGTTACACACTTGTATTCAGCTCATGGAAAATTTAAATTAATATGCTTGAGCTAGAAAGTATAAAAGCAAGACAATAAGTTAGTTTGCTAAGTATTTAGAGAACAGAAAAAATATATGTTTCTTAATCTATATAATGGCAGAATTGTTCGTTGGTTGGCAAAAGGTTTGGAGTGATGGAGAAAAACCAACTGGTCTCCTCTAGTTCAGAGTCAGAGCCGAAACTTTAACTTTATGTGACTTCTAAATTGAATATTTGATATATATATATATATATATA